CCCCACCAAGCTGCGCTCTGTTGTCCGGGGCTCAACAACTCTCCTTCCTGTTGTCTTCCAGCCCTCCCATTCTCCGAGCAGAGCTGTTAACTTATAACCTTCCAGATGTTAAGTCCCACTTGCTGTCAGAACACACTCCGTCCGGCCCCTCCACTTTTGCAAGCCAGACTCGGGGGCTCTGCTTGGCTGGCGGGCTGCCCCTCCACCCCGGCTCCCTCCTGCCGGTCCATGTAGTGTGCACCTCCTCTCCACCCTTCCTATCCTCTTCTGTGGGCCTCTCGTCTATGCTTGGCTCTGAAGAATCCATTCTGCTAGTCTTCTGGTGGTTTTCTGGGTTATTTAGGCAGGTGTGGGTGGAATCTAACTGATCAGCAGGACATGGTGAGCCCAGCGTCCTCCTAGGCCACCATCTTCCCACCACCACCTCTTATTTTTGTCTATACCTTCTAGTACAACGTTGAATAAAACTAGTGGGAGGAGACATTCTTGTCTTTTTCTGATCTTAAGAGGAAAAGAGTGTCTCCATTAAGTATATTAACTGTAGTTTTTTGTAGATGCTTTTTGTCAGGTTGAGGAAGTTCACATTAATTCCTAGGGTTTTTTAGGATTTTTATCATGAATGAATATTGGATTTTGTCCAATGTTTTTTCTAAATCTATGAAGATGATAATGTCATTTTTGTCCTTTATTGTACTAATACAATGTATTGCACCAATTTATTTTTATGTTCCTGAAATAAATTCCACTTGGTTATGATATATAATCTTTTTCATATGTTGTTAGATTCAGTTTGCTAGTATTTTGTTGAGAATTTTTTGTTTATGTTCATGGTATCATTTCCTCTATGACTGTTTGGTAGAATTCATCATTAAAACCATCTGGGCCTGGATTTTTCTTTGTGGAAAGATTTATAATTACTAATTCAATCTCTTTATTTGTTACCCATCTGATTTTGTTTACAGAGATTCTATCAAGTATAGTAGCTCCAAGGTATACTCTAGCTGGCGTTGTTGCTGATCTGACCCAATGTGAATTAACTGAATACAATTGCCATTGATTTTTAACCTACATAGTTGAATGAATAGAAGTTTCTTATGTGTTGGTGCTTTGGAAATCATTTCAGATACTGGTTTGTAAATCATTTAATTTTAGGAAGTAATTTTAAATTTTTTTTTTTTTTTGCATGTGGAAAAAAAATTTTTTTTAATATATGAAATTTATTGTCAGATTGGTTTCCA